CTTGTCTATAACCGTTTGCCTTCTGGACGAGAACTGATAATTCAGTAAGACTGTGTCTTCTACAAACTTGAAACCTTCCACTGTATCACATAGTGGAGCTACTTTTTGTCTCTACTTGGTACGAATACTGTATCAATTGAATAGAGAATTTGTATTGGAAGCAATTGCACTTGGAAGGTTACCTTGCTGTGAATTGGACAAAAAGAAAAAAAGAACAAATTTTATTTGTAACTAACGTTTGAGAAATAATGATAATAGTAATAATAGGTTACCCTTATTATGTGACTAAATGGTTCTATTCGTTTTACATGCAATAATTCATTTAATTTTCACAGCAAACTGATGGAGAAAGTACTATGGTTATTACCCTCATTTTAAAGATGACTAAACTAAAGAATAGAAAGGGTAAGTGAATTACCCAACTAAGAAAAAGATCCAATATTTACATAGAGTCCAAACACCATAGTCTTGACCATATCATTATATTCATTTTAAACTAATAATTATTATGATTATTAGTTTAAATTGAAATTTTCAGTTACAAAAAGCTTTATAAATACCCCAGAATGTTTTAAACATATCCCAGTTATTAACAGATAGCACCATAGTAAGATGGAGATAATTTTAGAGTTGTTATTTAACTTCACGGATTTTTTTGCAAACTTAGTGAGCTATGACATATGCTTAAAGTCAGCATAACTTTACTTTTAACATTCTTGTTCCCTTTTGCAAAATTCCTAAAAAATAAATATATCTCTAGAAATGTAGGCTGCATTAAAAGCAGCTGCTATAATAAAATAGCTCTTTTTTGTTTAATCCCTCTGGTTTCACTTATTTAAAGTAGTTATTGTTTAATGTACAGTTTTTCCTATCAAATGTAACTTGTTTTTCCCATAATTCCCTTGTTAGATGAATTTCTGCTGAATCTTTTGAAAAAGTCGTTTAGTGGACATACAAAAGAAAAAATAAAGCGTTTATATTTAGTCCCTGAGAGTGCATTCATGTTGGGTTTCAAAACATACGAGGCATTTTCATAGGTATTATAATAGTTATACTTCTCAATATTTCTACGAAGTATCATCATATCTTCTTTCACATGAATAAGGGGAGCCTCTCGAAAGTGAAGTGAATGTTGTGGAATCTCGGAGAAGCGGCAGAGCTGAGATTCCAGCCTCCGTCCTCAGCGCCTGAAGAGCGACGCCGTTGCCTCGCAGCTGCGATCGCTGCGCCCTTTTGGCCAGGGGCCGTGTAAGGAAGAGGCCAGTGGCTCGCAAGGCAGCAACCAGTGCTTCCTCCGCTGCCCTGACACGTTTCCACACTGCTGCTTGCTCTTTCCCCGCCGCCGGTAATGAACAGGACAAGGAGGAACTTGGTTGGGACTCAGGGGGTCAAGATTTTTGTTTTGAGGTTCTTCGTTTGTTCCCCGGTGACTAGGAATGGAACTAGTTGCTCCAGTCTTGGGATGAAACAACGTATAAGGAAAATCCTAGAATTAAAACCATGTATAGAAGTTATTCCATTGGCATTATTGAAATTCTTCAGATTATTTATATATATATTAGTATACTTCATGTGTAATTCTATAATTCCAAAATGAGGTCGTAAAAACCCAGAACATTATTTAATACATTTTCTAATTATATTTTGGGCATGTTGATTAATGCTGTACCTCACCTTAACCTATAGAGAATTACATTGAGCCTGGTACCTAAAGAGAAATTGACTGATTTGTTATAAAAGTTAATTGCAATAACAAGCTTAGGTCATCACTTCATGAAGCCTATTGATTTGAAAATGACTATAACACATAAGAGGCGTGTGCACTTTTTGGCTAATTTTCATAAGGCAAATGCACAATCCTTTTAAAGCAAAAACACACATGCTAAATTGGGCCAAATACATTTGGTTTAGAGAAAGATGTAAAATTAAAACACTTCTAATATTGCCTTTTTACCCTGCATTGTGGCCACCTCTGTTCAGTATTTGCTATGTTCCTAAAAGCAGTGTAAGCTGTTACTAAAACTATATAAACACAGACTAAGTGCATCACATGATTTTAGAATAGAAGCACACTTCAGGAAAACAAATATAAGGAGCTAAAATTTACAAATTTTGTTTAAAGACAGAAATATATAGCTTATTTGTTAGTTAATTTAACAGGACTTTAATGTGTTTGCAGTTCTGTTGTATTTGTGAGACAACCAGATAAGCAACACTACTCTTGCAAATATCATATTTAATTCTTGGAGAGACTGCAGTATGTCATTACAGATGGATTGATAGCCTGGGTGATATCATTGAACTTTTGTCATGCCTAACCTGGAAGACTTGCTATATGTCAGAGAACTTTTGTCATTCATCTTGCTTTCGAAAAGCCAAATTTATTTGCAACCTTGAATGACATTGGACACATGAAACAGCCTGAAATCTATCATGCAGTGAGTATCTTATAAAACTGCAATTTAAATCCTAGGTATTGACTTGGTTTTCAGAACTATCTTCAAAGCCAATGACTTTCAAATTTTTTATTTATGAACACTGATTTTCAATTGATAACAAGAACTTTATCTTTTGATTTTTTCTGCGTACGTCAAGGCATGAAAGGTCTACTTTTAAAAGAAAAGTAGAAAACAACAGAAGTGGAAATACATGTTTATATTTTTATATATTAATGTCAATATGTAACTGACAAGCACTAGTAATGAAGTCTATCCTTTGGTTAGCTTGTACAGCCAATTTAAAAAAAAATTCATATTGTACATAAATACAGAACAGTTGCATGAAAGTAGTGCTGTCAGAGGAACAGCAAAATTGTTTCTGAACTTTCTGTGTTGTAGAGCAAGAAATGTGGTATATGTTACTGTAAATTTATCATTCCATCCATATAAAAACTAAATTCATGTTAAAAACCAATAAAATAAGAAAGCAATTTAATGTCTACTATGAACCAGGTTTGAATTCTCAAGTATGTGATATAGTAGCTAATGTTTAGCTAATAGTAATAATAATAGGTACTATTTACAGAGTTTACTTTACGCTAGAAACTGTGCTAAGTATTTCAAATGTATTATGTAATTTAATTCTCACAAAAGTCTTATAACGTAATTACAGTAAATCCTCAATGTCATAAACAGGTTCTGCAACTTTAAGCAAAATGTGTATAACAATACCAGTCGGGGGCGTGCAGGAGGCAGCCGATCAATGACTCTCTCTCATCACTGATGCTTCTCTCTCTCTCTCTCTCTCCCTCCCTCTCTCTGAAGTCAAAGATATATTTAAAAAAAAAAGATAAATAGGCATATGTGGAAAGGAATTTCTTACACATAATATCCATTATTTTAATATTTCAGAATGAAACCTGGGCATCTTTATTGATAGTTTTCTCTCATATTATCTCATAGGATATATACTTATTCACATACTTTAGGAGTAAAGTCCTTGCCTACAACTCCCCCATGTCCAGATGTAGCAGAATTGACCATGTGCTGGAAAATAAAGCAAGCCTTAAAAAATTTTTGAAGAATTGAACTCAGAGTGTATTTTCTGTTCATAGAGGAATTAATCTAGCATTACATAGTAAGATGATTGAAAGTTCCTCAAATGTTTGGAAAACCTCCAAAATATATCTCAAAATAACCCAAAGAACAAATGTTAATGTATGTTAAGAAATATTTTTAATTAAATAAGAAAGTGAAATCTTTGAGATGAAGCTAATACTTTATTCTGAAGGAAATGCATAGCCTTAAATGAACATAATAGTGTGATACGCTCTTTCCAAGAAGGCTGCCATCAATTTCTTTCTTCTCTGGACACTGCAGTTTCCACACTGCAGCTGAGAGAAGGAATTCCTCCACTTCTGGGAATCTCAGCTGGCCTGTGACTGCTTTAACCAGTAGATTAATAAGAAGTGCTGCTGTGTGACTTCCAAGGTTAGATCATAAGAAGTCTTGCAGCTGCTGTTTGGATCTTTAGAATGGTCTCTCTGGAGAATGACAGTCACCGTGCAAAGTATATCTACCCTGAGACCACCCCACAATGAAAAAGTCAGAGTTAGGCAAGGGGAGTGAGATGGAGATGGCCAACCAACCCCCAGGTGTTCCAGCTGTCTCAGCCCAGATCCCAGCATAGGAGTGAAAAAGCCCGATGCACGTCTAACCCCAGTTGCCACCGGATGGCTACTATGTGTGGAACCCCAAATGAAAACCACCCAGCTGAACCTTTGAATCCTCAGAAATGTGAAAGAAAATAAATTGCCTTTTTAAGTGTTTTGTTTGGGGGTGGTTTATTTATTTATTCATTTATTTTAAATCCTCACCTGAGGATATTTTTCCCGTTGCTTTTCAGAGAGTGAAAGGGAAGAGAGGAGGGAAGGGAGAGAGAGAGGGGTCAGTTGGTTGCCTCCCGCACACGCCCTGATAAGGGCTGGGGATTGAACCTGCAACCAAGGTATGTGCCCTTGTCTGGAATTGAATCTGGGACCCTATAGTCCACAGGCCGATGCTCTAACCACTGAGCAAAACTGGCTAGGGCTGGGGGGTGGCTTTTTACACATTTTTTGTTGAAAAAAACAAAATTAACCTGTAGCGATTAACAGTTAAGTTAGTGGTTATCATCAGCCAATCAGGGTGCTCCTTGGGTGCTAGTAATGTGGGTTTATTGTGGTGTCATTGGTGTAGTCTAAATCTGAAAGCTCTTTCAATTATATACTTAATATCTGTATACTTTTCAGTGTACATATATGACACACTTCAGTGAAAAGTTAACTAAAAACAAACAAAAGCAATCCCAGCAGCTGTACAGCCAGGCTTCAGACAAAGTCAGTTATATCATTTAATTAGCATGCATTAGCTCTAATTAAAATGAGATACTATAGTTTTATTTCATTTAATCGGAGGTCAAAGAACGATATCACTCTGTAATGGTACATTTTTAGGAGAGCCACTAAAACCTTTTTGTGTCTATTTATAAGAGGCTAATTCCGTTTAAATATTTAATTGCAGATATAAATGAATGTGCCATTGACAATGGTGGCTGTCAGGACCAATGCTGTAACACAATTGGCAGTTATTACTGCAAGTGTCAAGCTGGCCAGAAGCTGGAGGAAGATGGCAGAAGATGTGAAGGTAACAGTTAGGACTGTCTGCGCACTGATAAGGAAACAGTACATCTGTGGAATGCAAAAGAGAGGGCCTGTCTTTATCCAGAGCCAGCTGAAGTGCCTGTGTTGAATGTTGTCAAGAGCACAGATCTTCCTCTCATGTCTAGATTACAAAATTGTAGCCCTAAGAACACTTCAAGTAGCTTATTATAGGAAAAGTATGATTTTATGCTAGTTTGGTGTGTCATGTTCTGATTATGGAATTTCAGTCGTTCATTTAAATCCCTGAAAAGTACATATTTTTTAAAGTATTTCGCTTAATTCTGCAGTAAAAAAAAAATGGTGCTTATCATAAAATACTCATATGTTGCTACAATAGAAATGGAGGGGCACAAAACTAACCACAGAGATTATATTCTTGGTGTAGACTTAGCTTTTTTCCCCACAAACTTCAATTTTCTGTCTCCTTTTAAAATTAGTTCTTTCCTTCCTTTATTTATTAATTCATCATTTTGTTCATTTGACAGTCATTGAGTTTTCTGCTCTGTATCGGGCATTATTCCATGCTCTGGGATATAAAAATTAATGAGAAATAAATTCTGCCCTGAAGGAATTTGCTGATTAGCAGCAACAAAGATTGAAACATAAGCCGAAACCTTACAGAATGCTGTTTTAAGGCAAATGGCATGGGGATAAAGCCAGTGGATTCAAGGAGGCCTGGGTTTGAGTCTTGGCTCTGCCACTTATGATTTATGTAACCTTGGGCATGCTGTTTAATCTTGCTAAAACTCTTTCCTCATTTGTAAAATTTAGGATAATGTTAGTTCCTAAAACCCCAAAGTTGCTTTGGGAATTAAATAAGATAATGCATTTAAGCACTTTGCAGAGTGGTGGCGTATGGTAGGCATTCAGATGGTAACTATGAATTGTACTCTCCTCTATGAACTAGTTGTTGTCCACATTGGGAATGTAACGGAGGCCAGAGACTGCTTCCTTCTCTTGTTCTCAAAGAGGGGAGACATAGACCCAAAAAGGATCCCTGGACCTTTCTAACTTCTTTTCCTATCCATACTATCAAAATACTTGAGCATTTTATTAGGTCACTTAGAAATTCATTTATTCTAACTATGGTTTCCTATCAAACTTGCAAAATCACACTCATTTTTTTCACCTGACAGTGTCTATTCCTGATGGGGCGTATGTGAGTAAGCTGATCAGAGAAAACAAAACAAACAAAAGACATTCAGCTGACTGCGGCTGGGGCTGTGGGTTTGATAGGGACTGTCAAGACAAGACAAGCTATAGATGCGAGTATGCTGGAGAATTCATCAGATTTTCAGGAAGGAGCGTGGTTCAGTCCTTCTGGCAAGGCTCTGGCAGGCAGCCACAAGAAGGATTCCAGGTAGGCAGCCAGATGTTCAAGTGCAGCTGCATCTGGGCCTTTCTAAGACAGCTTTCACCCCAAGCGAGGTCCTTTGACAGGAAGGGTATAAATTTATAAAGGCAAGCCCTAAATTCAACCAGGTTTTTTTCCTTGAAAGTAAGATAGTCTTTATTCCTGATTAGATTGTTTGGCAGTGGAGTTCCCAGTATTGATTGAATATCAGAGAACTAGAGGAGTCAAGGACCCCATGGTGTCCAAATGAAAGTTGGGACAATGACCACTGAAGCATGGTCTACCTGATGAGAATATCGTTTGTCATCATGACCCCTCCCTTCCCTGACAGGCAGCATTCTCTTCATTTCTTTTTGGCTGAGTATCATTACCATCATCATTATCATTATTACAGATGTATTTGAAGAGCCCAGCATGGTAATTAGCTACTATTAAGTATGATAGTTGTTGTTATTTTTATAATAGCTGTTAGGTTGATAAGCCATGACAAACTTTATACCCGCTAACTCACGTGCAATTATATAGTATTTTATTGAAGTCAGTTACTCTTCATATAAATGTAAAACTTTTGGAGAAGTGATTTCTATGGCTTTATTTAACTGATGTTTATTTATACAAATGAATACAGATAAGGTCAGTATTTGTGAGAATCAAGAATTTGATACTGAGTTAACATTGGCTCCTAGTTACAGAGCTGCAGAACTGGGGATGGTGGTCAAGAGCAACTCCTCAGTAAAGAACCATGTCTATCAGTTTCATACTCAGCTTCTTTTCCTTGTCATATCTTTAAATGACTATTTGGTAGACATGATGATGCTAGAGATTCGGTGTGCTTGATTGTTGAACATACAGTGATCTCAGATTTGCTTATATAGGTAATTAAATAAAAAATAATAGAGGTCATTTTGAAATTGAGTGCATTCTAACGCCACTGCAAATGAGCATTTCAGTTCATGTGAGTGCACTAATGAGCCCTTCATATTTATTTGCTGGATGCTCGCGGTAAAGGTCAGTTGGTTTCAAAGACCATTGTGTTGAATGCTACAGACATAGAATTAAACAGTCATTTGAACAGGCTTTTTCTTTGCATTAATGTAAATTGAATTTAACTGGCTTGAATTGCTTTTTAAAACACAGATAGACATTTTAGTAGATATTTGTAGTACAATTAAAATAAATCTAGAGTCTACCCTTCAATGGAATTGAAACATTTGTAAATGGTCTCGTTAGCTAATCTTATTCTTTAACCTTTTCTCTAAAGAGCTATAAACTTGTGGAGAAGGATTCTTGATTAGCTAAGTTTACATCAGTATCATCTTCTCTCAGGCATAGCACTGAACCTAAATCATGGGTTTTAATTCACATTGCAGATAGATTATTATAGGGCGTAGTTTAAGGGGAAAATAAACAGGGGAAAAAACTGCCTAACACTGGACACTGTGGGGAGTACATACTGTATATATATATACATATACACACACACACACTATATATAGTATCTGTTTATGTGTATATTTATGTATGGTATGTGTGTATATCTATCTGTATGAAGTATGTAAGGTTATTCTTTAATTTATTAATGTGGGTTATAATATTTATACCTTTTTAAGTATGCAACCATCTTTGCATTTTAGGGAAAAAATCCAATTGGATTTTATCATTTTATTTGCTATCAAATTCAATTTGGTGTTATTTTTTTAGGATTTTTATATGTCTAACCATGAACTAGGCCAGTCATTTGCTTTTCTCATATGGTTTTTATGGCGGTGGTTCTCAGCTGGCGTATTTGTCCCCCAGGGGCATTTGGCAGTGTCTGAGGACATCAGTTTTCACCACTGAGAGAAAGGGGTACTAATGGGTAGAGGATACTAAACATCCTCTTCTGTTACCCTGCTATACATGTGTTAGACCTTCTCATTCTACCTCATGTGCTGCTTTTATATAGTCTATTTTCTTTCTTTACTGCATATGCACAACCAGTCTATTGAGCTTCAAATAGTAACAATTTAACTTTACATCTTTAGAAGTCTCATTTTTCTCAAATCTGTATGTAGTTCCTTTCTGTTATATGCTCATTTTGATAATTGTACCCTTTTCTTTGATTATTTCACATATGGCTATTCTATATTCTGTGTCTGATTCACAAATCTGTGGTCTTTGTGGGGGAGTCTAAATCTAATGTTTCTTATATCTAGACCATTAGACACTATACTTACACATTCGTACTGTCTATTAGATTGGGAATAGCTCCTGGTAAAGGATTATGTCTTATCACTTTTCCATCCCCAGCTCACCAGTGTCTAATACCTAGCAGAATTCCTTAATGCTTATTGAATGAATGAGCAGATGGATGAATACCCATCTATTCAAACATAAATGCATATAAGCATACAGTTAGTATACCTTTCATTCATTTCCTTGTCTACAGATTCTAATAATATTGCATTTATTATTTAAAGTCTGACTAGTTAAGCCATTGGTTATCAGTAGGTCTATGTAAATATTTTCTGGTAGCAAGTCTGTTTTATTTGAAAAGATAAAACGCATTTTTTCCTTCTAGAGGGCAAATCAGAGGGGTTTTGTTTTAGCTTAAACTTTCTGAAGTGTCTGCTTGTGGCTTGTCTAAATTATTAGTGCAACAGCATAACCAGTGTGACTTTGGCAGAATGGTAGTCCCATGGAGTCAAGGAATTTTTCTAAATGAAACAATAGCTAACATTACTGTGTTTTATTAAGTGAACTGACAAAGATAATGAACATTGATTGAACATTTCAGATAAAGTCTTCCATTTGGGAGAAATAAATGAAAATAAAGTTATGTTGCTTGATGAATTGACCTTTAAAATATTTAACAGTAATTTTGATAATATTTTCAGCCTAATATTTTCCTGAAACACATTAGAAATTATAATGTGGATAAAGAGAGTATGTAACTGAGTATGCTATTATTATGAAATTATAGAATTTTTGGCTAAAAAGGCTCCTATAGATGGAATCCCAGGGAAATGAAACAAGCTCAAAATGCTAACTGATGGGCAGCATGAACTGGATGTAAAGGAGTTTAATCAGAACAATGGAGTCACAGAGCTACAAGGGCCAAGAGACCCTCAACTCATAGAGACCACGGTCCACAGAGGAGGGAACTTAACACCTGGAGAAACTGTCTGATTTTCTCCAAGTCCCAGACAATTTATTTATAGAGCTAGGAATGGAATCCAGTTTTTCTTTTCCCAATTGCCCTTCTTCCCAATTGACTAATCAATCTGGTCAGTAAACATTTACTGGATAACTACTGTGTGCTCAGCATAGTGTTGGGTAATTTGAGAATACCAGAGTGGTACACAACATGGTTTCTTTTGTCATCGGGTTTCAGTATCATCAAGCATCCTAGATATAAAATTATTGTGTGATATTTTAAATGAAAGTACAAGTAATTATATTTTATGCTTTGAGAACTCACCCAGGCCAGCTTCTTGCCTCCAAGCAGCACTGTTTCTCAACCAGCTGGTTGTTTATCCTGGTATTACAGATCTCCAAGGGAGGATTCTGTAGCTCCTTTCCACAGTCTGTTTAATAACCCTTGCTAGCGGAAAAGCCTTCCTTAGGTGTTATCTATATTGCTCCTGCTG